AACAATATACACCTCAAATGCTCAGATAGCTCTTGAAAATATTTCTGCAGAGATTATCCCGCTATGTTCTTTCACTTGAAGTACCTCCAACAGTTCCTGTGTTTGACTGCATCCGCTACAAGCATCTTGCTTTCAGACCTCTCCTCTCCACTTACCTAACTTTTCATATTGGCCTTTGACGGTGCAAGTGATTTCAGCCTCTTGTATCAATTTATTCTCTGCCTTTTGGTTTTCTTCATAAAGGTACTGTCATCTATTCTTTCCAACAGTTTTGCCGTTGACACCTATATTAAATTTACAGATGACAAGAGTAGGGAGAGTGCAGAAAGGATTGTTGATATCCACATAATTGTTGTGCTTGTATCCCATATCTTACCGAATGAGTCCCATTCAACACAAGTTGCTCTGACAGTCTCTGCTGTTAGCCTTGCTTGATACCTTTACCTACTTCAGCTTTGTTCAGATTCAGACAATGAACTTTGATGGGCAGGATTGTCTTCTACTCTTTGACAGTGACAAGTACATGAAGGCCTTGATTTTTGCCTGGGACTTTTGAACTCTCCATCAAACAAAGAGATGGCGACAGCCATAAATGGCAGCTGCTGTTTCCTTGCAGAGCCCAAAGGGTGAGCATCACTGCAAATGTTACCTGCTCCTTCCTAGAACTGGATCCCCAAAGCTGTACTGCTCAAGGCTGATAGATTGCATGGAGTCCACAAAGCCCGATATGTTGGAAGAGGAACTATGTTTGTGTCCCCTGCTCTCAGAGAAGGTGTGAAGGCATGAAGCTGAAGAAACATTAAGAGTGTCATAAAGGCTGGATGCTGGCGCTGCTCAACAATTCTGGAAGTGGAGGCTGATTGTGAAGGAGTCATCTATTTACATGCAGATCTTGGCCATTAGTGACGGTGAGGGAGAGAAGCTAGTGAGGAAAGTACAAAAAAGTTATAATAAGATGCTGTTAAAATCCTTCAGTTGTGAAAAGTTCACTGGAATGTGGCAGAGGTTCTTTAAACAATGAAAACTTTGCAGTAAGCCACTGAGGACAGATTTCTTTTTATAGAACAGGCCTATAGGGTGGTGCGAATTCTCTAAAATTCAGATCTTATTAAACAGCCCTGCTCTTCTTCTTTTTCCCTGATGACAATATAAATGAATTCTAGGTATTCTGGGCCTAGAAAAGTGGTTTGTTTGGTCTTTCTGTTATTATGACAGTGATCCCAGTTCCTTCATCTTATAAGGCTGTAGAGAGTTTTCTGCTTGTCAACATTGTCTTTGATTGCTTGTTGCAATATCCTGGAAGTCAGGACAGTGAATCCTGTTAAGGGGAACTGACTTTGACAGGGTGAGAGAGGCGTATTTCTCGTATGAAATATGAAGATAATGAAAGGAAAATTGGGACAGAGTTATTTCTAATGACAAGCATAGTAAGATTCAGTTTGGGGATGGAAAAGTAACTTCTTCTTCTTCTTCTTTGGGTTTTAGTTTGTTAGGAAAAAAATAGACTGAATACCCGTCAGGCAGGGCGTAAAGTTGCTAAGCTGTTGCTCTCCTGCAGTAGTCATCCTAAGGCCTCTGTCTGGAGAAGGGCCCTATTGTGGAAAATGCAATATGTGAACACAAACACACTCACACACCAAAACAGTCTTTGCACTGAACAACTTGCAGCAAAAGAAGGGAAAAAAACTAAGTATCTCAGTGCATCCAGTGCCCAGCTGTCCTCTGCAGGAAACAGCCTCCTTGCCCTATGAACAGAGCCAAGCATAAATGAGCGCTGATCTATGGGCACTACTATGCACATGATTAACAATACTCAAAAAAATACTGCTAATGTACAGTTTGGCAGATTTGCACCATGTCCCATTGCAACAGATCTGTGCCTTGCCTCAAACAAAGACCGACCATCTTGGCAACAGTGTTCTTGAGAGCGAACATCTGGTCGATAGCAGTGTTAGGGTAACACTCAACTTGCAAGAAAAACAGAGCTCTAAAGCAGGGGTGAAAGCAAGTAAGATGGCACAGCATAGCACAGAGAATAGCTAGGCCGAAATGCAACTGAACTTTCTAGCTCCTCACCTTGTAAAGTCCCATTGGGTCCTGGATAAATCCCATTTTTTTTGGAACTGCCGTTGACTGGGCAGCTCTTTCACCTATGCGTAGTAACGTTCAACTATGTTTCTCTTAAAGGGGTGGTCAACTGGCCACGCTCAGAGTGCTGGTTCAGATCTGTGCAGCCCTGGACATGCAGGGCAGCATTGATTAGTTGAACAGGCAAGCTCTTTTTGAACTGTGTTGTTCTCCCTGCTCTTAGAGCAGCAGATCAAAAGTAGAGAAAAATGTGAAGCACCCCGGAAAAAACTATGGCCCATAGTTACGTTTACAGTATCAAACTGCCCATTCTCTGCTCTTTATTTTGAAAAGCCAAATGATTTGCTCAGTTTAAAATTTTCTTTCCTTTATTTGTTGTTTCTCTTTGCCAGAAAGTCCGTCATCCAGCTAGACCTGGCTAACACCAAGAAAGCTCTGATTGTACCTGCTTTTGAGACCCTACGCTACCGTCTCTCCTTCCCCAAGTCAAAAGCAGAGCTGCTATCTATGTTGGACATGGGAACCCTCTTCACATTCAGGTAATAGAAAGTATGTTTGTTGAACCTGTGGTCATTATCTCTAAAGATTTTTTTTTTATGTTCTTGTGAATATTTGATGTTTCTCTCTCACTGTCAGATAGCTAGCTCCATTAAGAAACCTATTGAAATTTTTTTCCTCTTTTCATAGAGAGGTACTGAACAGAATCATGTGGATATATTCCATCTGTAAGCTTAGCATTTTATTTAGTATTATGGTCATCTACTGAAGGACTTCAGTTGTTAAATTGAATTTGTTTTATTTTAATCATTTTTTATTGCACTACAAAATCAAGCGCAACCATTACACTCATGTGCGTGTAATTTGGTTTTTGGCTGCCAAGTACTATCGTGATAACTGTGTCCCTCATGTGACCAAAAATAATTCTCTCTCTGCTCGTTGCTTTGCTTTCTTACTGACTTACTGGAAAAACAACCCCAGTCTTGTTGTGTGCTCTTTTAAAGTGTGAAGCAGCTGTTTAAATAGCTAGGGTTTCTCAATGCAGAGGTAAAAGTGTACTCTGACTAGAAGTTGAGAAGTGAAGAACACCTAAATTTGGAGCTCCTCTCTGAAGCAGACTCCTTTTGTGGCAGTGAACAAGTCACTTCTATTATCTGCCAGACTCTTTGGTTTTAAAATGCAGCTACCCAGGGTTAACTGTCTCTTGGGTGTGTGTGGTAAGGTCTGATTAGCAGACATTTGAAAAGCATCTCAGTGATGGGAAGAGTACAATATGGCCTTATGATATTGCACAGAGAGGGGGCTTAGGAGACCTGCATTCTCTTCTTGGCTCCACTACTGCCCTGCTGGGAGGTGGTACACGAATCATTTTGCTTTCTCACATCTCTGTTCTCCATCTCTGAAATTCAGATAACAATGTTCACCTCTCCTTTTTACAGTATTTCAAGATCTAGAGATAAAAACTGTGAAAAAGATAGGTATTATCCATGGCCAGTGGAGTTCTATATCACCTCTCCCATCCTTCCCTTCCTTGAGAGCTTTCCTCACACTTCTTCCATTCCCTGTATTACACACCTCACTCGTTGCAGCAGCCGCCCTTCCCTCATGTGGCCGCATTCACGTGTCATAGTAGACAGCCTGTGGGAGCCAGGAAAATGTAATTCTGACACTACCTCTACATGTGACTGCCTTGAAATAGAAATTTGAGATGACTGAGAGAGACACGCCTCTCTCTGGAAAATTACTTAAGGACACTGATGGAGCAAATGCCTTTCACTCTCCCATCATTCTTTACAGTCAAAGACATACAAATTAACAAGAGAATTGTTGATAGAAAATAATTGTTTCTCCCACAGTTGAAAGAAAAAATCATTCCAGTGGAAAATAACACCCTGAGGATTTTCAGATGTTACATTCCGCCAACAATCAAATTTTCAGGTTGCACAGCAGTAGTTGCACTACAGATTTCATCTTCAAGCTATATAGCATGTTGGTGTGTTACATACACAGCTGGATTTGCAGATCCTTTCTCACATCTCACTCAGGCAAAAATGTCTTTAACATCAGTAGGAGTTTTGCCAGAGCAAGGTTAAATAAGAACTGAAGGACATGTGATTTGTAGCTGGTGTACATATTAATGTAGGATTAATTTTACAAATGCTTCCCCAGTTTGCTTTGGCTCATTTCATTGCTCAAATCTATCAACCACCACAAAGCAGCTGTGATCTGGGCTGAGAATTTCCACCTCCATCTTCAAAGTGCTTTACTAACACTGCAATTCCAGGCTGGGCGGGTGGGAGTGAGCTGGGGAGGACTGCTGTCACAGTGATTGCTGAGAGTGCCTGCAGCATCCTGGTCCCTCACACCACATGGTAGATTACAATCTTTCCCTCACTAAAATTGCTTTTGTCACCTCTTTTCCAAATCATGACCTTTTCTACCTCTGGGCAGCTAAGAAGTACAAAATGGTTCTCAATTACATCCCCCAGTCACCACCAGAAGAAAAGAGAAGACATGTGAGCATCTATGGCTGGCAATGTGTGCTGTGTGGAAACCCTCTGCGGCAGCGGGTTGCTCTGTGCCAGATTGCTGGCTTTGTTTGCAGGTGCTGGCCGTGACTGTGCCTCGTAAGGATGTGCCTGCTCGGTGCCTGGGTAATAGCTGATGAACCACAAATGTACTGCCGACACAGCTTTCAGGCACAAGGAAAACCACAGCTGGTAGAAGACGCATCGTATTGAGAAAACATAACCAGCGACAACTGATTAACTAATTAACTGATTGCATCCACAATCCAGCAAAATGTTTAAGCATCTGAGAACAGAACTGGGAAAGTTTTTCTTTCACCGAGTCATCTTTTTCACAGAACGTGAAGCTTTGAGGGACGAGGCAGGGGGGTAAACCACTCTGAGAGGAATAACAATTTAATTTTTCTAACTTCAGCAAAGTTTACTGTAGTTTGAATTTTTTTTTAAATAAAAGCAATCAATAATGACCTAAAGCAGGGGGGCTTTGTGCAGTTGTTTTCCATGAACCATGGGAAATAAACTCATTATCATTTTACAGAGATCAAATGATTTGGTCTGGATTTGTCAAAATTGCCAATGTAGTGAAAAATATGTTCACAATTTTCACAAAGTTCTCCTGGGAGTCAGTGAGATTAAGTGTGGCCCTAAAATTCAGTGTGTGTTTAAATCATGAGTGAGAAGGGCCTGAGTAGGAAGATTAGATTTATTAATCTGCCTGTGAGATGGAAGACCAATACAGACAGTGAACCACTTCTCACAACAGCGTCACCGAGAGTAAAGTCTGATGGAAATTACTCACTTTTTAATGGTAGTTTCCTCTATATGGACTTCCATGTAATGGAATGCATATCTTATAGTACATTTCATGTGACAATAAGCCATTGGCCAAGACCTAGCTCCAGCAGGTTATGTGTGTGTGTATATATGTAGACCCATATATATTGTATGTACAGATATGTATGTAATACTGAACTCTCACAGTTCTTGTTTCCAGTCTAATTATTCCTTTATAGTTAGTGTGTGCACACCTTATTTGAGAGTCCAGTACTCATTTTCCTCTTTGTCCTGACCTTAGCCATTCTTTTGTCTTCCTCTTTC